AGAGAGAGAGAGAGAGAGAGAGAGAGAGAGAGAGAGAGAGAGAGAGAGAGAGAGAGAGAGAGAGAGAGAGAAGAGAGAGAGAGAGAGAGAGAGACCAAGAGAGGTTGAGATGTGTGTGTGCGCGTGTGAGAGAAGAGTCTGAGTGAGAACGAGAGAGTTATCAGTGCGTAAATGTGTAAAACGATATATAAACGTGTATGGAAACAGTGAACACCGACACCTGGATTACTCTGGGGTCCTGCCGCCCCGGGGGCCAAAATTAACCGAAAAGTTTGTTATTTGACCGAGCATATCTATTCTCATTGGTTAAGTTTAATATAGAGCACGTATATGTGCTTATTTTACTATGAAAAAACAGTATTTTTACTAAAAAAGTCAAGCGAGACGCGACTTGTTTTTACTTTTTAGGTCTCTTGATTGCATATCAGTTATACATACAACACAGTACAACGCGGGTGTCTAGTCCGAAGTCTAAAGTCTTTTTGTTTTTTTTAAAAGCCTCTCAAGTCGTACCCAACAAGAATAAAAAAAAAGAGTCTCCTTTTTCTTTTGAAAACAATTCATAATTTCACTGTCAAAATTATTCGATCAAATCACAAGATTAGGCAAGGACGGTTTTGATCTTCTGTGGTTTCACTGTTTCAGCTTGGCCTACATAGTGGCCTCTCTGTTGTGTACGCGTTTGACCGTTTGTGTACACTGTAAGGTGCAGTTGCGTATATATCACCCTCTAAATGACCCCTACTTTGGGTGAGCATGGAACCCGAACCAGTGATCCGAATCGAACGTTAGATAGCGGAAATTGCTTAGAATGATTAGGAGAAGAAAATCACCCCGGACACATTTTTGAATTTTTGGTCTGCTCATTTTATTTTTGAAAAATCCCAAAAATTTAGTCGCTTATACTAGATGACCCTTCCGGTCCGAAATATGAGCTTTTGAGGGCAGAAATCGACATGCCGCATCATTTATAAGATCGGTCGACGCGTCAGAATCATCTTAAGTTGAAAATTTCGTATAGAAAATATCTTTTTTTTGGTGTGAAATATTGTACACACCTGGGCCACTTTGACCACAGTATGTACAGATAATTATGGCAAGTATTCGCATTTAGACTCGACATGTCAAATCAACGGGAGAGATCTAAACACTTAACTGGTGGGCGTCAATAACTCGGCATCCCGAATATACACCCATTGATGATGCATCGAGCGATGAGTCCGACATATATCAATGTAGAAGATGTAAACAAAAGCAAACATATCAGTCATACATCCGTACCAGCTATACTCAGGTGAAGCTCAGCGTACATTGCGCATTTTTAGTTTTCGTTTTACTGAATTTACCAATATTTCATGTATATCCATTGCCTCCTGGTGTCTTTTTCAGGAGGCTAAGGTATATCTGTATATATTTTTCTAGCGAGAGGACTGAAAACCACAGGAACAAAAGGGTTTGCAATTTTGGCCGCCCAGACCACAAATTTGGCCACACCATAAGGGACACCCTTCACATATAATTTGGCCGATTTGTTTTTTTCGACGGCTATGGCTTCTATTGCTTATTGCCGATCTCGCTGCAAATTTTGGGGAAAAATTCCAATTATTTCGAATAGAAATGGCAAGTTGAATTTTTTTTGGTGATGTATACGCGACTGCACCATACACTGTACAGTACACATCGACAGTGTACGTATACCCATGGAGACTCTGAGAGTCCGGGGAGAGTGAAAACTGAATCGAGAGTCGAGACTGGAGTCGAGACATGGCCTCCTGGAGAGTGGAGCCTGGACTCTGGAGATTCGTACAGAGACGACTGTATGACTGTAAATATGTATAATGTAAATAATCCAGTTGTCCTCAACAAGAAGATAGATGTCAAAAACTCAAAATTCTCGAGTGGCAACCTCCAACTAGCCCGGCGTGTCAGTAGTTACTCAATATTCGGTATTTTTAGTATCACGTTTTGCCACGATTCTACTCCAGGAGGAAGCGAAAATCAATCAAATTTTATCGCGAAATTTTGACTGCTGTACTAGCGTACATTGTAGGATTTTTCCGTGGGTAATCAGCCATGTGATTTCTGCTGCGCCAATTGAATGTCGCTATCGAAAACAGAAATGAAGTCATCAATTTGATACAGGAGAGAAAATGCTACTCTCCTACTAATTGTGTAAATAGTGTAGACTGTAGACTGTAGAGAAGAAAGCCAGTGAAAGACTGCAATTATCACTGCAATGTAAATGAATGCAGGGGTAGTCTAGTTTTTTATTTTAAAATACTGGTATTAAAAACTGGGATGTTGCATAGAAATCTGACGGTCTACTCTTGTTGACGCCAGAACTATATAAACATTTGTCAGCGCTTCGTTAGAGATCAGTTTATTCAATACAAAAGTTAAATAACAATTAAACAATGTCCATCATTAACAGGATCACCGAGTTGCCCCTTGTGGCTTCTGCCACCGAGGCCATCCCCACCTACTACGCTCAGGTGAAGGAGGCTAGCCCTATGTTCACCAGCGTCGCCTCATACACTGAAGCTGCCGCTGCTAAGACTCAGGAGATTGTAGCCCCCACAGCAAACAAGGTTGTTGCTAACGAGCGTGTACAGAAGGTTGATGCGCTTCTAGTATCTTACTTCACCGCTGCTGTCGAGCGATTTCCCATGCTTAATTCCACCACCGAGGATGTTGTAGCCGTTTACAACAGTACCGTCAAGTCCATTGCCGAGAAGAAGGACACTTGCATGACCTACCTTTCCGAGAACAGAGATGTTCTTCTTAAGCGATTCAATGACTTCTTCAACGCGAAGAAAGATGAGCTTAACGCCAAGAAAGATGAGCTTAACGCCAAGAAAGATGAGATGACCGAGCAGATGAAGACACAATACAACAACGCTTCTGAGAAGGTTAACAATCAGTATGTAGTCGCCTCTGAAAAGGTTAACGAGCAATATGTTGCCGCTTCAGAGAAGGTTAGCGAGCAGTACGTACAAGCCTCTGAGATTGCCACACAGCAGTACAAGAACATTACCGACCAGGCCACTCCATATGTGGAGCAGGCAACTGAGATTGCTACCAAGCAATACAACAACATTGCTGAACATGCCACTCCATACGTGGAACAAATTAAAGAGAAGACCACCCCATACGTAGAGGAGATCAAGGCCCGTACCAGCCCTATCGTCGAGTACGCGCAGAAGACGTACGAGCAGGTGTCCACCTCCGCTTAAATGTCGAGTATTTTAATATCTGATGAAAAATTAGGAAATATAGGTGGTGGGGTGAGTTAGTTGAACGTTTCTGGCAGCGACCGTGTCGTTGCGAGTGTGATGGTACATACGAAGATTTGGAAGAAATATACAAAATAAATTGTGAAATTGCATTGACGTTGAGCGTTTTTTATAGTTTAACATGATCGGATAGTCTCGCAAGCTTTCGAGTGTAAGGCCTTGGAGCAGGGGGCAGTAAGAGATAGCACTTCTTTGACATCTAGAATGCAGTGTCATTCTGTTGTATTCTGGATAAATCTTATGTTTCACGTGCTGCAAACATCACGCACAGCAACAGGCATGCAAGATGCTGTCATGCTAGAGTGGTACATCATTCTGAGCACATATAGGCACGACAGAAAGTAAGCTACATATTTGCGTGGTTCTCGCCCTACCATAAGCGGAATACTGCTGTTTATTTCTTCCAATAAACCATAGTCTTGTCAGAGAAAAACATAAAGCTACCTAATATACGCCACAATACACATTTTATAGTATTCCTCGCTGAACTTCTTACATTTCACGAGATAATATGCTTCGCTCTGAGAGGAGGGTGAGCATCCGCGACATCGTCATCCGTGACTGGAAGCCGTTAGATGATTCTTTCAACTTGGGGTTGGGATCCGTATTTTCTATTCTTCTACTTCACAATTATACGTTTAACATGTAAGTACAGTATGCAATTTGGTCATTTAATAGGTGTATCGAATATTTATTGCGTGTTTATTTATCCAAATTCTGAAATTGTATCCACCGTCAAACGGAGTAGATCGAAGTAGCCCGTCAGTGACGTTCGCAGAAACCGCAATTCCGACGCGCTCAACGTCCTGTGAGGAAATATAGCCATCCAGCCCACTGGTCGAGTAAGATATGTATAACGCAAACGCAAGCAGAGGCGACTAGCAATAAGACAGATTATCACAAACAAGGCAGTCTATGGGATAAAAATTTGATGCGAATACAAGTAAAGGTAAAGTAAAGGTAGCTGTATGTTAGGGCTTTCTTTGTGCTGCAATGCGGAGTTCTCGCGGAATACTAATCTGCATCCGGAACTACATGGTGTGCGAGTAAGTACACTTTTCTATTGTAATCTCAAAGCGCACAAATATTAGGCACGTAGGTGTACCAGCAATGGCAATTAGCATCAACAGAACAAACTAATGAACCATATCCCACAAAGGCAGAGCTTGTGTCACACTCTCCTTTTCAACACACAGGACTGCGAAGTGTTTGGCACACAGATTTGTACCAAGTACCCTGATAATCATCAGCAGATGAAAACTGCAGAATTGGTTGTTACCCGTAAAATGAAAGAACTATCGTCACAAGTCCCTCATCAACACAAAACGTACAGAGAATTTCAAATATAATTTGTACCAACTATGATAATCAAAATCAGTAAAACAAAAATGCTCCGCTAGTTTATATCCCATTATAGCCAAAATGCTTGGTATGTATTCCATTTCGTAACACAATCACGAGAATATGTTTGGCATGCAGCTCTGAAGCAGGTCTGTACCAGCAATGACAATCAACAGTAACATATACTTTCGCCACTGAACGGTGGCCCTCCACAGTAAGAACTATAGTCACGCTTTTCGTTTCAACGCATAACAACATAACAATAGATTTAGCATTCATGTTGTACTAACATTGACTATGAAATCCAGTATATTAAACTTACGCCACTAAATAGTGCCCGTCTACCGTCAGAACTTTCGTCACGCTTCCCTTTCTCGGTTCGGGATCGGCCGATAGTGTCCGCCTAGCAATATTCGCCCAGAGTTCGTTGGGGAATCTGGTTCTCACATTCCTAAGCACCAGAGTATAGACGTGAAATATGTTTATCATCAGAATCTGAGGTACAAATTTCTGAGTATCGAGCAAGTAAGTAGACAAGGGTACGAAAACTTCATTCCCACAAGTATCAGTACTGAGGATGTGTGACTATATGACATTTTCAGGTAAGAGCGTTATCACATTTCTGACTGTCGTGACAAACACGGAGAAATGTGCTCGGATGCAAACGACATTAGCACAGCACTAAGTTTCTATGATGTGCGAGAATAAAAATGTTGATCAGCCAAGTCGGACTCAAACTTCTAAATGTCGAGACATGCCCAAATATGTGCTCCAAAGCAAACTTTCCTCTCCCATTCCTAAGTATCGATATACATATACATATACATATACTTATATATATATATATATAC